TTCAAAATAAATTTTAAAAAATAATAAAATATCAGCTTTAAAAGCTGAAAAACAAGAAAAATAAAAAAATGAACAACTTTTTTTCAAATTGCGCTTAATGCCACAAAATTTATCAATGATGACAAAAATCCAATCAATAAACATAAATACAAATAATATTGTTGGCAGTAAATCTTCAATTTTAAATTAACATCATCTTCATCACCACCACCGCCAAAATTATCAATACAGAAGTTGAGGCCAGTTTTTCTTTGTCATCATTATTAATCAGTTAATTTGTTTAATTGTAGTTTTCCAAACCCCATTCCGTTTTTTGCTGAATTTGTTGTATTTTCTTTTCTACTATTGTTTCTTAATTTTTTGAAATAACTTCCTTCATGTAATTGCGATCATGCTCTGGCATGAACGCCAACATTGATTTAATGTCATTTACTTTTTCTTTGCTGATTTTTTGTTCGATGGTAAATTTAGCTGGCATTGTCAGATGAGATCTTCCGCCTCCTTTAGAGGATCGCAACTTTGACTATGGTTTAATCTGGACCACCAACCAATCTTTCTCTGAAAAACTTGTTTTGTACTGAACCTCCATAAGGTTGTTGGAACAATATCTTAAAACTTTAACTTTGGCAAATGGAATGGCATTAAATTGAAATTGGTTTGCCTTTGACTGGTAATCTTTCATGTTGTCTTTCCGTAACTGAATGAGTTTCAATGGTTTTTTACGAGGTGTGGTGCAGAGGAGGCGAACTAAACCCAATGGACTATAAATTTCACTATGTTTAGTAACTTGTTCTATTTGACTGTGCAAATTATCAATTTCTTGAATCTCACTGTGACCTGATTCACAGAACTTCTGAGTTATTGAATGGACTGAAGGCGTGTTTTGCAAAAACAGCATCAAGGCTGTGGACATGACTTTGTTTTTGTTCTGTGGTACACAGGAGTCACTCCACAGTGTGATTTCTGTAACTTTTGGATTATCACTGAGCATCTGACCAAGTAGAACAATCAAACCACTGGCTATGTCATTTCCTGAACGCCCACTTAGGATTTCTGACCATATTACTCCATAACTTTGCTTGGTTAAAGAACAATGTCCAGTCAAATGAAAAACATTAAGTTTGCGCTTGTAAAAAAAGTTTGAAACGTTTCCTTGAGGTAAAGAAAACACTTTTTGCAAGTCAAAACAAAAAACACATTTATCAGCACATTCTCTGTCTCTGGTTCTCTCTTTATGGCTTTCTTACTTTCCATGCATATGTTTCGCATATTTCTCTTTGTCATCTATATTTGGCTTGGTCTTAAACTTTGCTTCTCCACATATATTGCAACGATCTTTCTTTGGTTTATGGAACTCTATGTTGTACTCGTGATTGAAAATGTAGCGGTAGAGATGTTCTTTGGCTGGTTAGTCTCCTTTTGATTGCATTTTTCAACAAATTTTTCATACAGAATTTTTAGATTTAAATTTCCTTCAATGTATTCCTTGTTTGTATTTTGCCTGCAATAATGGCTTTCTACCCTTGGAATTGATTCTATATGCTTTCTTATAGAATCCCTACGGTCAGCATAACATTTTTTTACGTGTTTACCTCTGCTATATGAAAAAGGAGTTCCTGTTACTTTATTTTTAGACTTGTGTGTATTCACAATTCTCTTTGCATCAATGGACAGTGTGGATAAATAAAAATCTTTGCAAACCCTAAACCTTTTTTCATCTTTGATAAAATAAAAGAAGTAACTTTTCTTTGTCTTGTCTGGCGATCTGCTCTACGCGTTCGTGCTTTGTCCGTCATATCAGTCGTGTTGATATAAAACTGTCGCTTTTGATCCTCTGTCACTGACCAGTGCTCTTCATATATTTCATGCCTCTCCTCATCTGAGAACTTACTGAAGCATTCATATGGACAAGTTGTATGATCACGCTTGCAAATTTTGACTTTTTTTGCCAATCAAGAAATGCCAGAAGCTGAAACATAGGCTTGTCCACTTTGACGTAAAGTCCGCCTTTTAATAGATTTCCACTCGGATTTATTGCAGTTTCTTTTTCTCGTAAGTTGCTTCTTTGTTGTCTTATGCAGAAATTTTTGTGCTGCATAACCATGTTCGTTAACTGCGAGATTCTTCTCTGACAGAACAACATTTGAGCAAACTTCAGGTTTACACTGACACCCATTAAACAGTCCACACAATTCACACAGCAAAGCTTTAGATTTATAAAAGTCCATGCTGCTATCTGAAGATTCTATTTCTGGTGTTGTAGCAAGTTCAGTTGAAGTTGATGGTGTATGAGCTTCTTGGTTAATGACATCACAGTATTCAGCAATATCAAAATCTGGATCTGCAATGCTGTTGTCATAGCTGCAATAACAATGCCAACACATCATATACTTTTGATTATGATAATGATTTTAACAATATTAATTCTGTTAGAATTTTCCTATTAAGAAAATTTATGGTCAATGTTGCATTTTTTTTCATTTGATGTTGATTTAGGTTAGACTTTTTAGTTAGAGCATTAAATTAAATAAGTTCAATAAAATAAAAAAAATAAATCCATGCAAAAGCTAAAGCTGTTCAACAACATGTAGTCAGATGCAGACAAAGTTATTTCACAGGATAAAAATATCAAATTAATCTTCCAGACATAATTATGTTACGACAAAAAGTAACAAAGAGAAAGCTCTCTAGTTTTAATTTGAAAATTTAAAAAAAAACTAATCCTAATACAAGTCGTCAGCTGAGAATTATAAGGCTCTATGTCCAAAAAGTCTTCGCATGAAAATAGTTAGCTAAGATTGTGAAAAAAAATATGCTTCAGCTTACCTATTATTTTCATCTTCAGATTGGCTTTCATCAAAAATTCTTTCCAAGACCTGTTTTGCAGACATTTTTTGGAAAGAACGCTGAAATATAAAATTTTCCGCCATCGTGCAACATTTAAAATCGATAAACCTCAAAATCACGTGATGTAAACCGGGACGACTAATAGGCTGTGGACATAGAGCCCTATAATACTGCTGGATAAATTTTTTTTGGACATAGAGCTTTTAAATTGTAACAATAGTGAAGTTAACCTTGTCACAATATAACCAGTACTATAGGACATGGAGCCTGAAACGTTAAAGTGTAATACTATAGTTTCACACGGAAAATTCTCATTTTTTGGACATAGAGCCTTATAATTCTCAGCTGACGATTTCCCGCCGCCTCCTGTCGATTTACCAGGAGCTCATATAGCCTCTCAGTCCAACTTGCGGTATTCACGTGTGACTCAGATATTGTTCGGCGGAACTGTTATCACTGACAGAAGGGGCGAAGGCGAACAACTGGCCCCTAAACAAATAACGTTAAGCAGTTGTTTTTTTTATTTTAACCGTGGATGGATACACAATAAGTAGATTAAAGCTCTGAATCCATACCTCAGCTGCTCTGCACCTATAGGCTACTTAAACATGGGAAAAGGTTCGGAGAACCCTGAGAAAAAATCAGACAACTTGTAACACCCTGGCAAAGCCTGCGACGCGTTTCAACTGGAACTGTATCGGCCACCCTACATTTCTTTGGATACATCCGTGGCGTCGAGAGAGGGAGAGAAGTGCTATGCGTGCGACATCGATGTAACAATAGCTTGAGCCCAGGTATTCATATCATTTTTTATACGATGATTCATAAACGCTTAGCGACAGAAGGAGGCCAACTGACGTACTTTTTGAGACCAAACCTATTTGTTCTCTTTCATAAAATATTGGTACAAGCGGCTATTCTTAGCTGGTGTACAGATCGGAGTAAATGCTACCGTCGCTTCATCGTGGTATCTCCGTGGAAACGTCCGCCCGGGGAAGCGGAAAAGCTAAATACGTGAGCAAACATGGCTCCCAGTGAGCTACCACTGTAGGCTCTAGCGTGGTGGGGATGAGAGAAAGGCTTGCTAACCAGTCCGAAACCCACCCCTCCGTTCCCCAACGGGTCCAGGCCATAGGGTGGTGATGGTCCCATCACGGGTGCGTTGGCACAATATAGGCAGATAGAGCCCCCCCCCCCGTGGGCTCGGCCTCCGGTCTCGCATAAGGAGAGAAACTCATGTCGTGGGAAGAGGACATGGAACATGACAAGCCGGGTGTGATTAAATGATTTCCTAGTTTTTCGGGGACTCCTGACAGAGGAGTTGGTGAAGAGACAATTTTTCATCCTGGCCATGGGACAAAAGCCTTTCCCGTGGTCACATGGTTCACAAGGGATGAGGTCATCTCGAACCATACGTGGACATCTATACAGTGTACAAATCTCTCTGTTCATCTCAAAGCATTGTGTTTACTAAACTATCTAAACCATCTGTATATCATAGAATTAGAGTAAATCAGTGGCGTAGCTAAGCTGGCTGCAAATTTGAAAGTCACCCAGGCCCCCACTTAAGAAGGGCTCCCACGCAAGTGTCTGATTTTTCTTTCTATCACATTAAATATTACCCGCTGGCATGTAATCTTGCTATCCATGCTGTTATATAAGTTAGTGACCCTGTTGCATGTGTTCCACACAGATTAACTCTTTCCTTGCGGGGTTTACCTGAGGGAGTAACCTGAGTTATTTATTATTACGTTACATATTAATTAAGGACATAATCTCATGTCATGATGTTGAAGGTCTAAATGCAGGAAGCCCGTAAAGAGCTCAAGCCCCCCCCCCCCCCACCCCCCAGGGCTCCTAAAGTCCTAGCTACGCCATTTTAGAAAAACAAAAATTTCTTGTCTTTCACCAATTACAAATCTAAAGCACTGGACTATTTAGATGTATGTTAATTCAAAGAACGGAAGTGGAACATGCAGAATTAATACTTGCTTTAATTATTAGATATTAACTTTGTAATACGTGTACTTTCTCAATATTCATAATGATATATATTAACAATAAAAATAATATAAATAACAAATATAAAATATTTTTAAAATATATTATACAATCAAATTACCGAATAAAATAAATTGAAGCAAAAAGTAGACTCAATATTGAAAAACAGTTGTATAGAAACAATTGCATTGTTCAATTTTCATACTAAAGGTTTTTAATTCTAAACACTGAATCAAACTGTCATCATTTCATGTTTACAATATTCAACATAATTAACAAATAATTTACAAACACAATAAAAATGATTAAACTAACAATGTTTGAATGTAGAAAAAAAAGAAAGGATAAATTATCAACATATAATAATTTCATCGGCTTGGTCATTTCTAATTATAACTTGTAGGCAGTGGCGTCACTAGGGGGTGGGGTGGGGTCCGCACCGGGTGACACCCACCCTAGTAACGCCACTTCTTGTAGGTATTGATTTTTTTTCTGAGTCGGTAAAACAATATATACATATATAACTTTAGTGATTAATATACAATTTCTACATTGTGTCGTCTAAAAATGTAAATGTAAAATATATACATACATATAAAATGCCAGGATTTTTGTTTAGGATTTTAAAGCTTTACCTTTACGCCCCCTTCCTCTCTCCCCTCCCCCTCAAAAAAAAAAAAAAGATATGTCTTAGAATCTGTTGTCTGGTCCATGCAAACTGCTACATTGCAAGCAACACTAAACAACAAAATAAATGCAATTTTAAAAAAAAACTAAATAGAAGTTTCAGAAGTTGCTTCGGAATTGAAGATATTCCACACCCTAGCCCAACCCTCTCGTAAAACGACGGGGTGTTATGGAGTGTGTGTGTGTGTTTCTATGGTGACGACGGGAAGGAGTTAGCGATTAACTCTGAATGCTGCAGGAAATGTGGCATTGTCGTCAGCTGTTTAATTAGGGGAGACGACTCCAGAACGTGAGACAAAAGATGTGTTACTGTAGTGAGTTAGGTTTTGTTTAAAATACCATTTTATATTATTACTAAGAGTCTACTAGATTTGTTTCGTTTCATCACAATTTGATTTTGTCTATATTTTAATAAAAGTTATATTTGGAATTGTTCACAAAAAAAGTTATTCAAGTTATTTCAAGTTTTATTAGTTAAGATATATTACGCCTACGTCGGTTTAGCTGTCTACCAACGGTTCAGTGCTACAAATGAACTACCGTCAACAGCACGGGGAAGGTCAGCAAGAAAGAGGCATATACTTGAGTCCAGAGAGATGACATACCAGCGCGCATAACGCACAACAAGGCAGCCGTTTGAATGCCATAAAATAAAAAAAAAATCTTTGATTTTGTGGAATTCATAAATAAATAAATAAATAAAGTTTAGCTTTTATATAGCGCTGCTAAAAAAAATATGGTCATATTAGAATTCTATTATTACAGTTGCAGGTAGTGTTGGTTCATTCTCCTATAATGCTTTTTATTTTTCGACTCAGCTCCTCTTGCGCTTTCTCCAGTTTGATTTTATCATTTTCTGACAACTGTGGAACAAGAATTGAGTTAAAGTCAATTTAGAAATGATTTTTTAAAAACTCTTTCTCTTCTAATTGTCGAGGCCAAACGTTGATTTGAACTCATTAAACTAAATGGATTTTTGGATTTATAAACTATAATTTGTGTTGTGTAGAAAGAGCAGACATTCTCCTAGAATTCGATACCAAATAAACTAATTTCTGTTAACTAGCTAAAATGTTATTGAAGTTCTAAAACAGGATAGTAATATACAAGTGAGCAAAATGAGGAAAATATTTACGGAGAGAAAGAGTTAACTAAATTTTGATGTGTTATCATTCTCCGAGTTACTTAAAAAAAAACAGCTGATGTATCAGCTTTAGTTTTCAGTAGGGCATAAACATATACATATACATAAACATATACATATGTGACATACAGTCAGAAGTATTAGGAGCTTTTTTTATTTATAATGCCCATTTTATTAAAGAGTTTTTAAAGCCTATCCGTGCCTGAGGTGCCACCCCTGAAATATGATGTACATCTTCGCACGCCAGATACATACAAGTAAAATAAAAATATTGATAAAAGATAACAATTATACATTTAGATGATTTTTTTAATTTTCTGACAGTAAACAATATTATAATACTTTTATCAATTTTACTATAAGCATAGAAAAATAAATTCCAAAGTATTATTCTTTTATTTGTATAGCAATGGGCCCCCACGATGACCTGCTAACTACTGTTAAAAAAAACGCAAACTAGAATTCTATGACAATATTACTTAGACTAAGACTAAGACTGCTTTATTGATCCTTATGGAAATTAGTTGTGATTACAAGGACTCTTTTCTCATATAAAGACAGGGATTTGTGATTTTGGGCACATCGGCACAATTTAGGCCATGTCGTGCCTGCAGTCCCTCAAGGGCCACTCTCCCTCAATATAACAAGGGCCAAATTCCATACAGTCAAATCATTAAAATCAAGGTCTATTCACAGTTAAAATAGTAGAGGTAGTAAAAATTTAATAATTTGGTAAAAATCTAATGTAAATAGTACATGTCTACAGAATTCATAAATCAAATCTTCGTAGACAACCCCACTTCCCGGATAAAGCCCAGTATCTTCCCAGGATCGACATTATTGAATAGTGTTTTTAAATTAGTGGCTCTAAAATATTTTCCCCTGACATCCTGGTATCTGGGGCAGTCGATGAGGATATGTTCCACGGTGAGGCGAGAGTCACAATACTCACAAAGTGGGGGCTCTTCTTTCTTTAGCACAAAAGAGTGCGTGATGTAGGTGTGGCCAATCCTAAGTCTGGACATGGTCGTGCTACCACGCCTTGTCAGACCCTTAGATGTGGACCGCCACAGTCTGCCTGAGTTTATTGTGAGTCTCAGCCTCCCATCGGTCCTGCCACTCTTGGTAGGTGGCAGAGGCAATACTTTGTCTCAGGTCCGAGCGGGGAATTTGGGTTCCTGACACCGCATGATTTAGGGCTCTCTTTGCTTCTCTGTCTGCGGCTTCGTTTCCCTCAATGCCCACATGGGAGGGGACCCAGATGAAGGTGACATCCCTATGGTCGGCTGTTATTTGGTCCAACAGCTTCAGGCTCTTTATAAAGACAGGTCCTCTGGGATCGACAAGACCTTCTTTCAGGGAACAGTACCAGGAAAAGAAGAGGCAGACAGAGAAAGCGATGGGAACACAACATAAAAGAATGGACGGGCCTGCCATTGAGGGTAGATTAGATTATGTCCAAGGCAAAGGAAACAGAGAGGAATGGAGGACGGTCAATGGATGTTGTGTGGCGCCCAAACAGACTAAGGGACATGTGAAGGTGATCCTGTACTTCATAAATGGTTTATAATAATTTTTTAAAATAATATGCCAATATGGTTTAAATAAGTGGTTCACAAACTTTTTTGTCTCGTAGACCCCTTGCCATGTTTTTTTGGTTTTCAGTAGACCCCCTGCTTAAGTTATAATGAATTTTTGAAAATTTATCAATTTCCAATTACATATTTTGTTTAAAATAATATCTAACCAGTGACACAAGGAGTGAAAAAGTAATTTAAAACTACATTTTAAGTTGAATCTATTTGTTTTAAATAAATTTATTTTCAAAATTCAAATTTAAACCCATTATATAACAGTTAATACGTGTAGCATACGATCACTAAACATATTAGAAACTTTTTTTGGTTTTAAAGGATTGCATGCTCATCATCCCCTTGCTACGGAGATTATTTTTTATACAGGGATTTGTTGTTTTATGAAGTAGTTCTTCAAAACATTAAATATTAATGTGCCTTAAGTATCATAGTAAAACTTTCACCAAACAAAAAAGCAGTTTTTCGTGGATTTCTTGAGCAATAATAATTTTAATAAAATATACATCATTACCAGACAAGGTTGACTCAGCCAGCTGTATAGAGAAATATGTTGTTAGCAGAAATATGTCGTTTGCAAAGACTTACATAAGAGGAGAATTATTTGACTTTATTCCAACAGAGCTCAAGAATTTAAATTGAAAAACTCTGATGCCTCCTAAATAAAACAACTCATGATGCCTGAAATGACGTTCGGTAGTCACCTTGCCTCCTCGCATCTCCAGTCGGGTGGTTTGGGCTAGGATGTAATTATTCACATAATATGAAGGAACATACAGAAGATTTTGTACAAAACATATTGGGTCACATTGTAAAGCTCAACAACAACAGCAAGAACACTGTTGTCCAATGTTGAAATAGAAGGCTGACACACTTGTCTAATGTGAGAAAACAAATACACACTTGAGCATCGCACTCTATCCAGAAGAAATGAAGAAACTAATAGTGAGTTGTAAAACCGAGAAATGGGCAAGCCCTCATTCGATATACAAGAAAGATGACACCTATTATATCCCGAAAGGACTATTGTTAATTTTTCACATCAAAACCGTACACATCATAATGAGAAAACATGTTCTGGAAGTTCAAAATTGGGACCATTGAAATTCGCCCTTTTGGAGTATCACCAGAGATTGCCGACCATGTCTTCAAAATTGCATACTTCATCAAAAGGCCCAAAACAAGACACCGGCCACAAAACCCACCCATGAAATTCTTGTAATGATATAAGTTCAAGTTTTTACAATTTCTTCAACGGCTGGTAAAATAAAAAAATTTGCCTATCGTGTGAGGTTTTCAGTATTTTACTATAAGTAAAGAGATATAGTAAAACTTCACTAATCATCATCTTCTCAATGTCAGGCCAAAGATAGAGTTTGTGGGTGTTTTATGAACTTTATCTTTGAGTGTTTGAAAGTTTTGCAAACCTTTATCTTTTTATCAGGGTGGCATCATCTCAAATGATCCTCTAGCTTAATTGGTTTCATAGCATCATAAAAAATGGCACATCAACACTCGCTTGTTGGACAAGGAAGTAATGAAGTTCAATTTCAAATACTTAACGCTGTACAGTCTACATTTATTTTTGGTTAATGTTATAACTAGACAAAACTACAATATTTAAATAGTTAAAACATTAAAAAAATAATAATTTTTTTATTCAATCAGCAGGATAACAATTTTAAGGATTTCCTAAGGTACAAATCATAAATGTGTGTATGAAAAAATTCCAACTGTCAAAATTAAAGTCACGACATGCTGAATTGAGATTCTTTATCGTAGACCCCCGTGCACATCTCATAGACCCCAATTCCCTTTATAACTTTTGTAGACCCCTTGGAAGTATTCGTAGACCCCTGGGGTCTAGATAGACAACTCTGGGAATCACTGGTTTAAATGATAGATTCTGGCATATATCTAATTTATATACAATGCGTAAACCAATTTGATATTTGGGTTTTCTTGAATGTTATTCTGAATTTTAGCTGACTGGTAATAAATTTATATAGCAACACACACAATTTTAACTTATAATATTCACCTCTGTATTTTTCAGTTGATCCAAGACTGTTTTCAATTTAAGTATCAGCTGACCGAGTGGTTCCGGTTCTGCCCTTGGAGAGGTAACTCTCACTGTTTTAGTTGGTACGGGAAGTAACTCACAGCTCTGAGGTTTCCTTTGGCACATGCCAAAAGCTTTTGGACCAGAAAAACTAAAGCCTATATAAAAATAAACGTGTCTTTTAAACATTGTGTTCTTGAGCACTGGATATGCAGTAGGAATATTAACTGTTAAACCAGATTTTCCTGGTGTCTGGATTTGGACTTTAATCTCGTGACCACCTTCTTCCAAAATGCCATTAAGTATTCTGAGATTATTTCTGAACAGATGGTGCTGCCATTTTTCGTGAATGGTGTACATCTCTATGACGTCTGTTTTGTCAAAGAAAAGTACGTCACACAAGGGCTGGCCATTACCTAGAAAAAAGAGAGTAGTTTCCCTTCTTTTGTGAAACCAGGCAGATTTCGGGTAATTCTTTTTGAAAGCTTTTTTCCATTCTTCAATGGCATTTAACAGGTCTACTTCCATGCACAAGCTGAAAGATGATCGTTCTATAGTGGGGAAATTATACAGAACATAGTAGAGATACAGTTCTAATTGGGACCTGTTGCTAGAGTGTTTCTGTTTACCGAGAATATACATTTCCTTGCTCCATTCTAAAATATGGTTATAAGTAAAACCAGAAATCTTAATTTGATCCAACAAACATACGGTTACAATATCAAGCATACTCCGTAGA